AGCTCGCGTCTGGACATAATACTGTCACGCCCCAAGCCCAAGGTTTTGGGACCTAACAGACGCCACATGCTCATGGGATGAATCCCATAAGCATGAAAAGCAACAACATTTTACTAAACTAAATGTAATAACTGCAAAATCTCTTTAAATTTTTTTTTACCCTTTACAAAACCTCAAATATCTAAATAATACACAATATATATAATCCTCCAAAAAATACAAATTTCTCATTTAGTTATCATCTCTTTACAAACTAAATCAGAATACTTACATCAAAACTTATAAATGTCAAAAGACATGTACTAATCTTGCTAACCAAGGCTCTCATCGAATAAGTCAAATCCCCACACATGAATATGTGTTGAAATCTGTAAAAATGATAAGGAATATAGAAATGAATACAACCACTCAGCAAGTAACTGACACCCTTTAGTCGGATTAGGCATGCTCAAAACATTTAGGTCAAAATTACTAATACATATATAGATAACAAAATATATATATTTTTAATTTGGGCAATCTCATTCAAAACATATATTTCAAATTTCATTTTTAAATTTCAAAAGAAAACATAATTTTGTTTTAGATAATGTAGCAAACACAATTTCGAAACTTTCAGATAACAAAGCAAAACATAATTTCACATTGATTTTATATTTTTATTGGTCTCTTGTAACATACTATGGTTATACTTAACCCTTATGGCATAGGTCATAATCATAACAGAAACCGCAATTAACCCCAATGGTATAAGTCATAAAAATCACAATTAACCCCAATGGCATGGGTCATTAGTATATCAGAAGCAACCATTGGCTGCTCTGAATAGATATCACAAGTACCGCTATTCTGAAATTGCTGGTGCGGTTGAGAGATTGATCTCAAATCACATAATACATGTGGATATGGCCAACGTTTAATCCCCATTGGCAGATCATATCATAGCCATACTAGGGGATAAAACAAAACATATTTTATGATTACCCAATTTCACAAAACGGTAATATTCATTTTCACAAAACACATTTGTACACATCAAAAGCATATTTATTTCAAACTGAGTATTTACATATGTAATCATAAGGATGTTAGACAAAAGTTATATTCATATTTCAAAATCAAATATCATATTTCACAAAAATTCACATTTCAAAATCCAATATACAAAAATCATAGTGATATACAACATCTTTGCTCAGTGCTCACCAATTTTTACAAATTCATTAGACAAAACATATTATACATAATATATGAAAACATTCATGAGCACGTGATTTGTTCATCTCTTCGGAATATTATACGGTACCACGAATTCAGCATCTCTCAGATTCTCTGCTAAGTATAACACCAATAGAGCCTGCATAGAAGAGATTAACTACGAGTTTAGAATCCACTCAAACTCATAATAAAAATACTCGAAATTAAAAACTAATATTGCTAACTTAACAAAATGGAATCATGACACTCTACTGGTCATTCTAAGGCATTTTAGGTGTAGCTCAATCTTTCGCTAACAAAATCAATTTTAATTCTTTTTAATAATTTATAAATAAATAAAACATTCAAAACTTAAAAACTCATAGATTATAGTACAAATCAGTAATAATATGGGATTTGATGGAAATACTTCAAATACAAATCAAAACTTAGTTTTTGAAGATTTTTAATAAAATTTTCAAAATATGCTAACTCAAAAATAATTTGTCAAATAAATATTTACTATACAAAAATTCACTAAAATTTAAATTGCTTAATTTTATGAAGTTTCTAGCAAAATAGGTTGAATATAAGTCAAGAATAAGTTTTAAAATAACTAAAAATGAATTTTTATAAATTCTAAAATTTCAGATTTTCATGACCATTTGACTTAATTCGATCACTTATAACTCTTAACTTGAATTATTTTCAATCATAAAACCAGCATCATTTTGAAGTATTCATATCATACTACAATAATCGAACTTGTTTCGATTAAAAAGAGCACAAAATCCCTAAGTTTCGAAAGTCAAATCTCTAGAAATCATCACAAAAATATTCAGATTTTTGAATTTTTAGTATCAACTAGTCTATTTTGAGGCTTTAATTCTCTTAATACAAGAAGCTCCTAACCGAGCCATTGATGCCAAATTAAACATCTCGTTTCGGATTACAAAAGCTCTCAAAGAAACAATAAAAAATATTATCGAAATATGAAGTTTCGTTGACTTAAAATTGAGCTGTCAAAACTGTTGAAAACTAAGTTCTCAATTAAATTTAAAATTTCGTATCTTTCAAACTATAAAACCAAACGAGATGTTGTGAAAATTATTGAAAAGATCTTTTCAAGACCTTTCCATTGGTACCCAATCATGCCACCGAAAAGTCACTGAAACAATGCCGAGTTTGACAAGAAGTTAAAAAAATATAAATTAAAGTAAAAATTTAATCATACTTTAATAATTGCTTTTTTGAATAAATCTTTCCTTTTTCTACCTTCTTCTCTAGAATTAGTTTCTTCCGGATGGTTTTTTTTTTCTGTATTTTGTTTGTAAATGTAGAAAACTAACTTTAACTTCCTCATATGTGGTAAAATAATTGACTTTACTTCTTTTCCTTTAAATGTGTAAATTACTTTTATTTAAATGTATCTTACTGATTTTCTTTTTTTTTAAAACTAATTTACATAAAACTAATAGATTTTCTTCTTTTTTTGTGACAAGATATAGCTGACTTTTTTTTTTTACATGATAATGTAATTTAACTTCAATTAAGATAAAACTACTCTATTTGCTAAAAGGTCCTTAATATACAACTATTCTATTATAAATCCAAATATTTTATAAGTAATTTCAACAAAACCTACTTGTCAAATTTAGGATTTAGTAAACATATTACTGTAATTGTATTTTTGGATTGGGGTATTACAAATACCCTCCTGTCTGTCAGACGGAGAAGTTCCATTACCGAATCCGCTAGAAAAAGAGGCATAGGCTAAGCCCTCGAGAGAAGGGAAACTTTTGATTTTCCGTTGGCCATTAATGGTGGTAGCAAACGTGACTCGTGCACCGGCCTGTATCAGGCGCTTTGCTAGTCGAAAAGTAGGGTTGCAAGGAGGAAGTGGGGATCATCCGAATTCATTGCCTCTTTCTTTCGTTTTGCTCAACTCAATTATGGTAAGGTAATTTTCTGCATAAAAAGTAGCAAGACAACTGGATAATTTGCTTAGAGAACAGACAATAAAGAACTCTCCAGTTACTGTGACCAAATGAACAAAGGACGAATCATTTAATTTCTTTCCCTATCGAAAACCCAAAAGACCCATTAGTACTTACTGTTGATTTATAATACAAGTAAAGTCATCCCCGTATCCAAACAATGTTGATCAAAAGCATCTTTGAACATCGACAGAGATCGGACATGGAATCTGCAAACGATGAATGTGTGGTCTTTTCAATCAGTTCTAGGACCACATCCAATGAGGTAAAATACAAAAACCCTTCTTTCAATACACAGTACATTTTTTACCCTTTTTATTTCGAAATGTATTTTTAGACTCTTTTTATTTCAAAATACATTGGTAGGTCTTTTGGTTTCTTTTATACAAATATGAAAAGTTATAATTATTTTTAAATAATTAAAAAATATAAAAAATTTCATAATTTAATTTAATTAAATAATAATGGAAATATTTTTATTCAAAGTTTATCAATTTTAAAATTAAAAAAAAAGACACATAGTGATAAACAAAGAAAAATTAGAAGAAAAAAAATATTTAGGATTGCTTTATTATGATTTTTAAAAAAACTCATAATTTTGAAGTGGAAAAAATCTAAAAAATTTAAGTAATAATATTCTAATTAAATTAGGTAAAAAAATTTTGTATTTAGGGAGATTTTTGCATTTTTTTAAACCAAGTTCTTGTGAGATCAATTTTAAATTTAACCAAATCAAGCTCTTGTGAATTTATTAAAAAATTGTAAATTTATTAAATTTTTATAATTATTGAAAAATTCACTATATGGTGGTCGTATCTTGGTGGCAATGATTTTGGATTGTA